TCAAGAGGTGAATTTCTATTGGATATGAGCGATCAATTAATAGGTATATCCGACATGTTGATCATTTAGTAGGTGTTGTGTTTGTTTTTGCAGTATAGAAGTAAAATAGTAAAACAGAGTAAGTTTTGTATATGAACGCATTTTCTTTGGCGCCTCAATCCTGACATTCTAATTACATGTGTTTGACTATAGCCACAGATCTCAACGGAATCTAAAGCCAGAGATACTAACATTTAGCAGGAATGACTGCTAAATATTTATGCACAGTTCAGCAATGTATATATTTTGGATTCTGAAAAAACAATATTTAACTATTTTCTTGTAAATTCAGTGTGTAGCCATGCTTCGGCACGAATGGTTCGGCTCGATCGGAGGAGAGATACCACGGCCTCACAGAAAACCGGCGTGAAACAACCACAGCGTTGTGTTTAGCCGTGTGAGTGAGGTTACCGGAGGCCCAATCCTTCCCCTCCCCCAATACCTCCTCAATCCCTAAATCTCCAAATCCCTAATCCATGAAAGGTCGGCAACGTACTCGTAACTCCTCCGTTGCGGGTGTCCATGGGCGGCGCTGATTGCTTACCATCAGGTAATACGTCTGCTCGTTTGCTGTTTATCAAATAATAAAAAAAAAAACATCAACCCTGTAGGGCCCCGTCTGTAACGGTCTAGGTATTGTCTGTAAGGCGCGCGCGGAACACTACGCGCCCTAAGCTCGAGTCTGCTGGATCTGGTCGGATGGCGAGCTACATTTGTTCGCCAAATTATGGATATCACTTACTATAAACCGGACCGGGGTCTCTGTACACATTATTGCGATTACGACCGCAATACCAGACAACCATAGTTTAAGACAACTTCAACAAAAAAAAACAACAAAATAAATTATTTAACTTTTATTTGGAATACAATCATTAATAAAGGATTCAACAAAAACTTCTCATATAATTATGTAGGTCTGTACTCTATAACGATTTTCATAACTTTAATTAATAATACAAAAAATCTTCTTAGTTTTGGGATACGCTCGTAAGCTAAGTAAGTATACGGTTTACCCGACAGACGAAAAACTAGGAGTTAAGTAAAAACGGTAAAACGGGGTGAATAGAATTCGAGGGGTGAATAAACTCGGATGAGGGGTGAATAGATACTAGGAAAATTCGCCAACATCTATTCACCCCTTTCGTGTACCTATTTACCCCTCAACTTCTATTCCCCGTTTTACGGCACTCAATTTTATTCCTCAGACAACATTGATCTGATTATTGAAAAATCAGCCCTAACTTAAGTATTTTATTTTTGGTCTAACGAGAAAATAAAATAAATAATAATAACGTGCATAATTTTTGTTTTTTTTTTTATCCATTTTCATACCCTTACCTCCACTCGACAGTGATGTGTATCGTGTATCGAATCCCGGTAATAGTGATGTGTGTAAATATAATTGTGTATAAATCCGTGACTAGTGACGTGACATTTCGGGATTCGGTCAGAAATCCCGGGATCGAAATTATATGAAAAATAGTGTAACTATCGAGTTTCTTGCTTGTTCTTCTCCGTAAGAATCTACACTTTGGAACGAGCAAATAGCTTCACTAGAGGACTGACCGACAGACAAACTTTTTGATATTTATTTTTTGTTTGACGTTCAAAAGTGCCTATTGTGGTTGACTTTACTTGAAAAATGCATCATAAAACTAAAGGTGAAGGAATCAATAAGTAAGGAACTTAAATATCCCTAATTACTACATCACACACTCAAAGTAAAATATATTATTGTAGGAACTCAGTATATAGGGGTTTCAACAATTTCCAAATGTTATTAGCTGTTTGAACAGACGGATTACCTGATGGTAAGCAATCAGCGCCGCCCATGGACACTCGTAATACCAAACTGGGACTGGTCATCTCCAGGCTGTCTAAATATGTTGTCCTTGAGGTTCACTTCTTTTTCGTACAAAGAAATAATGTAACAAAGAAATGTATTGTAAAACTGATTGAAAAAGAGTAACCATGGAGTTTCTTGCTCGTTCTTCTCCATCGGAATCTACACTTTGGAACGAGCAAATAGCTTCACTAGAGGACAGACGGACAGACTGACACGCTTAATTTTAAAGCTCATGTTATATACTTTTTTCCTTTTTTGCTTGCTTGACGTTCAAAAGTGCCTACTGTGGTCTAATTGAAATAAATGATTTTCGACTTTTGACAAAGGAGTTACTACAAGTGCTTTGCCGGATTCTTGTGGGTTATTAGGGGTTTAAGGATAGGGGATTGAGAATGGGGGGAGGATCGGGCCTCCGGCAACCTCACTTACAGAGCGAAACTACGTTAGTGTGGCTTCACGCCGGTTTCTACCAATTTTGTTTCGATCGCGTCGTGCTAGAAAACTAGTGCTTAGCAGCACGTCGCTGGAAAAGAAATGCCTCAATTCACGCGGCGTGAGACAACGCTGTAGGGTCGGTTCGATCCGGTCGAGCTGACATAGCAGTGCCGAAGTATGCGCACCCAGGTGAAGATTTGGAACATTTTCATTAACTACGTTGTCAAAGGATTTCTTTATATAGGGTGACTGACGCCCTTTATAAATAGAACAGGGATCATAAAAACACTATTTTAATGATGAAACAAAGAAAAATGCAATAATTTTATGTGTATTGCTTAATAATAACATCTCGCCTTACATTCCACTCGGGGGTAAGCAGAGCTTTACATATTTCATATAACATTCAGTTCATATTATAATCATCATCATCATCATCATCATCATCACCATCAGCCTATAAGTGCCCACTGCTGAGCAAAGGCCTCTTCTCACACGGAGAAGGTTAGAGCATTCATCACCAGGCTTGCTCAATGCGGGTTGGCGATTTCAAACTTAACTAGAAATTACAAGTCCAGGTTTCCTCACGATGTTTTCCTTCACCGTATGTCAGTGGTGTCTAAATAATCATAGAAAGTACATATAACTCGGAAAAAGTCACATTGGTACTTGGCAGGTTTCGAACCCGCACTCTCATGCATGAGAAGCGGGCTCCTTAACCTCCGGGCTACCACGACTATAATATTGAAACATAATTATAATATAAACTCAATTACAATTTTCCTGGCCCCTCTATCGAATCTAGTACAGTTACAATCACACGCCAGATTAACATAATATTTGACTTCATAAAAATCTAATACGTATAACAAATTCAATCTAATAATATTTATTACCTATTCATCAAATTAAAATACCTAAATATTTTTTTTATTCTGGCAACATTTGCCAACACTTATATCGAGTATTGCCATATTTCATAGTAGATGGTAACTTTTATATTATGTGCAATGCTGATACTAAACTTTACTATTTAATGGATGTTATTATACATATAAACCTTCCTCTTCAATCACTCTGTCTATAAAAAACCGCATCAAAATCCGTTGCGTAGTTTTAAAGATTTAAGCGTACATAGGGATAAAGGGACAGAGAAAGCGACTTTGTTCTATACTATGTAGTGATTATAATTTTACAATCAATATATTACTTTTCTTATTTACACATTTAAACCAGTTTCTAAGCTATGTTTTTATAATAACTATCGTGAGACATACTAAATTAACTAAAATTCGCGGGTTACTCACGTGTAAATGTTGAGAAAAGCTCTACTAGTTTTAGAGCAGCGTGCGCGGACGCGGCGACGTCGCCGCGTCCGCGCACGCTGCTCATGAGGAAGAACCCCTCTGTGGTTCGAAACTAGTAGAGCTTTTCTCAACATTTGCACGTGAGTAACCCGCGAATTTTAGTTAATTTAGTTTCTAAGGTATTTAAGCTAACATAAAACAACTATTAGGATATAAAACAATAACTAAATTTCAATGCTTTTTACAAATTTTCAAAAGCCTGTGAATCCTGTACGAAATTATGTTTTAAAACGCCATGTAGATATGTATCAAACTACACAATCATTCCTTGATTTTTTTTATAGAGTAGAAGGCAAACGAGCAGACGGATCACCTGATGGTAAGCGATCAGGGCCACCCATGGACAGCAGAGGAGTAACAGGACTCGTTTTTAGAAGGAGAACGCTCGTTTCTTGAAGGTTTGAAGGTCGTATCGGTTCGGGAATACCGCCGGAAGATCATTCCAAAGCTTTGCTGTGCGGGGCCAAAAGTTACGCGAGAATCGCACAGTTGTTGACTGCCAACTATCTGTCTATGAGATGGGGATGAAAACGATTTCTCGTTGGACAATGGCGAAGTTAGGAATAAATCAAACAACACGATACATCGTGTCTTAAGTGTGAGAGAGCCATGCTTCGGCACGAATGGGTCGGCTCGACCGGAGTGATACCACGGCGCACAGAATACCGGCGTGAAACAACCCACAGTGTTGTGTTTCGCCGTGTGAGTGAGGTTACTGGAGGCCCAAGCCTCAATCCATTCCCAATCCTTAAATATCCGAAACCCTTATCCCTAAAAGACCGACAACGCACTCGTAATTCCTTTATCTGCGGGTGTCCATGGGCGGCGCTGATTGCTTACCATCAGGTAATCAGTCTGCTCGTTTGCCGACCTATACAATAAATAAACGAAACTTAGGGACTTAGGGCGGTCGGGTACTAAAGATCGCTCGATTTTCCTCTTTAAAAATGTTGTACCCACGACATAATAAAAAAAAAATAGTCTTTCTAGTTTTGTCCTGTGTAGTGAATGCTTTAACAAACATACAATAAATCGTGTCATTTAGAAAAATACAAAAATAAATCGTGAAAATCAATGTCTTTAAGAACTGATTTTTCAATGATTAGAAAAGTTACCTGGTGAATAATTATGATGCTGTCGCGTCAGAATGTTTGTATAAGACAGTGACAGCAAAAATTTTATTCCTCAGATAACATTTATCTGACTATTGAAAAATCAGCCCTAAGTGTATTATTTATTTTTGCTTTTAATTTTATTGCTTTCTGGACTAAATCGTCTTCAAGACAAACTACAATAGGTGCCGAGTAACAATGGAGTTTCTTGCTCGTTCTTCTCCATTCGAAACTACAATTTGGAACGAGCACCTAGCTTCACTGACGAATAGACTGACAGACTACTATTCTATTTTGACGTTTCAAAAGTACCTATTTATGGTTTAGTTGGAATAAATGAATTTGACTTGGACATCTAACCCCTATTTATCCCCAGTAGGGGAGAATTTATACAGTACTAGCTTTTCTTGCGCGGTTTCACCCGCTGCTCTTAATTATTTGATCGTAGCGTGATGTTTTATAGCCTATAGCTCTCAGGAACATTGTAGCTATCTATCAGTGAAAGAATTTTGACAATCTGACCAGCGGTTCCAAAGATTACCCCCTACATACAAACTTATAAATTTTACCTCTTTATAATATTAGTATACCTAGATATTAGATATTGCTCAATACTTGACTCCGTGCTATAATAAAATATACAGAAAACTGAATAAAATTCACATTTCGTTGTAATAATAATAATAATATGTCCACAAAAAAAGTATAACAGTGAAATAAATACAAAATAAATTAACGTGATAGTGTTGTCTACGTGTCGATAAACGAATTTATCGATATATTCTATCGATGAAACTTCTGTAGTTTCTCACAAGATGGCGTGCGCAGTTTCTGCGCGTCTGCGTACTGTCTCGAGTCTCCGAAATTCCTCGCCTTCCAAACCATACTGTCTCTATAGTTTCTTTCTCTTTGGCAAGCGTGACGAAGCCCCACTGAAACAAAAAATAAAAGTTTACACTACTGAAAGAATATATATTAAAAAAATAGTTTTTAAATAGTCATCTATTTAAACAGTGTAAACAGTGCCCATCGTTATTGGTTTAATGTGTTTTATTATTATTAGCTTAGTTATCGAAATCCGAAAAGGGCGTAAAGAAAAGACAGACACAGAGTTACTTTCGCATTTATCTAATATTATTAATAATATTAGATAAATAATGCGAAAGTAACTTTTTTTTTTTGTACTTGCAATAAACCAGTGCTTGACTGCGATCCCACCTGATGTTAAGCAGTGATGCAATCGTTGATGGTAAGGCGCACTAGTTTATTAAGAGCCTATTCACTCTAGCCTTGAAGACACCTAAATACCAGTACCAATGTGATTTTCCGAGTTATATGTACTTTCTATGATTATTTAGACACCACTGACACATGGTGAATGTAAACATCGTGAGGAAACCTGGACTTATAATTTCTAATTATAAGTTTGAAATCGCCAACCCGCATTGAGCAAGCGTGGTGTATAATACTCAAACCTTCTCCGTGTGAGAAGAGGCCTTTGCTCAGCAGTGGACACTTATAGGCTAGTGATGATGAATCAGATGACTTGACAAGAGATTTAACAGGAGATTAGTTAATTTTAGCGTTGACAAGCCTTTCAGAAACCGGGCGTTAGACTCCAGACTATTATGGTGTTTTTTCCTTGTGAGTCACAGACTATATAAAAGTAAATAATTTATATACTGTACCTATATATTCCTCTTCGATGGCGAGTTCCAATCGCCGCAGGGATCCTTGGTAATCGGTGTGGAAGTTCTCTTTCACATAATATGGTACCTAGAATCATACAAAAACAATTATTTTTAGGCGAATTACCTGATGGTAAGCAGTTCTGTCGAAGAACCGATGACCGCTGGAGTAGACGTGTTCTAGAGTGGAGACCACGTCTAGGCAAACGTAGTGTAGGGCGCCCTCCAGCTGGTGGACTGACGACATCCGTAAGGCTGGCAGTGGTTGGATGAGAAGAGCTGAACATCGAGCTCAGTGGCGTGCTATTGGGGAGGCCTATGTCCAGCAGTGGACGACAACAGGCTGGTGATGATGATGATGATGATGAAGCAGTTCTGCGACACCCCTAGATACCCGCCACGATAGAGGAGTTACGAGTGCATTGTCGACCTTAAGGCTTTCGGGGATTTAGGGATTGGTCTTGTGTCTTGTAACTTCATTCATGCGGCGAATCACAACGCTATGGTTGTATCACGCCGGTTTTCTGTGAGGCCGTGGTATCACTCCGGTTAAAACAACAAAGCAGTTCAGAGCTTAAGAGGCGTTCATAAAATACGTGATATGTTTAAGGGGGGGGGGGGGGAGGGTCGAGTCAAATCTCGCCTAATCTTACGTTAAGAAATATGGGGGGAGGTGGTTTAATAGAATCTCAGTGCGATTGGGGGCAGGTCTGGCACTGAAGTGGCAGTGGGCAGGTCACATCTGTCGAAGAACCGATGACCACTGGGGTAGACGTGTTCTAGAGTGGAGACCACGTCTAGGCAAACGTAGTGTAGGGCGCCCTCCAGCTAGGTGGACTGACGACATCCGCAGGGTGGCAGTGGTTGGATGAGAAGAGCTGAACATCGAGCTCAGTGGCGTGCTATTGGGGAGGCATATGTCCAGCAGTGGACGACAACAGGATGATGATGATGATGATGATGATGAGATTGGGGAATGGGGGGGTTGAATAAAAACTCACATGAGATTGGGGGACGGAGGAGATATTTGATTAAAATATCACGTGAGATTGGGGGATGGGGGGAGGGGGTTGAGTCTGTGTGCGATGTGTTTGTGACATTGTATGTTCGTAAACGCACCCACGGCACAGGAGAAAATCCTATTGTGGGGCAAAAAGTATGAATGAAACTAACCTTTTGATTAACGGTCTCCCTAGGGACGGGGTACTTGGAGCTGGGCGCGAGGCTGTAGACCGGCTCGCTGATGAAGTAGCCGGACATCATGCTGAGCAGGACCAGGACGAGGACTGGCAGCAGCTGGACCAGGCCAGCGTGGGCCTCGCGCGTCTCCGGCTGGCGGCCGCGGCGACGCGTGTACACTGTGGGCCCGCCGCCCGGGAACGCCGCTAGGGAGGAGAGAATACGTTACAACCAGATCCATATTAACAACCAGCTTCAACCAGCGGCTTAAACAAATTCATCCAAATCCATCCAGCCGTTTCGAAGTGATTGAGTAACAAACGTACATCCAAACGTCGTAACTTTCGCATTTATAATATTAGTAAGGTTTTTATGGCATAAGTCGGCAAACGAGCTGACGGATTACCTGATGGTAAGCAATCACAACATTAAAGCAGTTACAAGTGCGATACCGGCCTTTTAAGGATAAAGGTTCCGGATATCTAAGGATTGGTAAGGAACGGGGAGTGGGAGGGGGAGGGATTGGGCTTCTGGTAACTTCACTCACAGCGGCAAAACACAACATAAGTGTTGCTTCACGCCGGTTTTCTGTGAGGCCGTGGTATCACTCCGGTGGGGCTTTTTTCTTAAGAAACCGTCCTTAAACTAGTAGGTACTTAATAGAAAAAAAAAAATATACATTACCCATACCTGTCGCCCCGAAGAACATGTTGAATAGTTCCTCAGCTGTGAGGTCGGATTCGAACCCGCGCGCATAGTACTGGTGGTGCGTTTGCGGCGCGTGCGCAGCTTCATCGCCGCGCAGGTCGTACTGCTTGCGTTTCTCCGCATCCGTCAGTATGGCGGCCGCATTGCCTATAGCCTGGAAATACATATTGCCATTATCATTTATTTATTACTATCGACTCTCACGCGGTTTCACTCGCTGCTCGGCTCCATTTGATAGTAGCGTGATGTTTTATAGCCTATAGCACTCAGGAACATTGAAGCTATCCATCAGTGTAAGAATTTTAGGAATCCGATCAGCGGTTCCATATATAACCCCCTACATACAAACTTGCAAATTTTACCTCTTTATAATATTAGTATATGTAGATTTATGCACATCACACATACAGTAAATAGGAAAACAAATACAGATCAGAGGTACATTGGTATTGAATATTCCTAGATATAGAATCTCTTCCTGCAGTCCTTCGATTGGAAAAGTGTAAGAGACAACAACAGGAGAAAGAGAAAGAAATAGGCAATATAACAAACAAAACAATACTTTACACTAAGACTAAAAATATAGGTACAGAAATAAAATTAAACCTATAAGGACTGATTTTTCAAGTATCAGATATTACAAGATTTTTTGTCAGATAAAAGTTATCTGAGGAATAAAATTGTCGCTGTCACTGTCTTATACAAACATTGTGACGCGACAGCATCATAATTATTCCCCAGGTAACTTTTATCTAATCATTGAAAAATTATTCCTAAGTAAACTAAAAGTATACATACATATACATAACTTATATACATATAGTATAGTAAAACATATAATATAGCATCATCATCAGCCATGTACTCCATCGTTGGATTACAGTCGTCCTGTAGGAAAGAGGCCATTTTTTATCGGCCATGGCGGCAAGCTACTCTTGCTGACCGTCCGCAGACTCGCGGTTACCGTGGCAGGAGACCGTCGGCCGATCCAACAACCGGAGTATCCTTAACACGTTAAGCGCCATGGTCACCGGTGACCTCCGTTAGCGGAGGATTTGCCTTCAACATTTTTCTTTCGGCAGCCAAAGGCTTAATGCGGCGACTAGGGCGTGAGGAGGATATATAGATCCCTCACGCGCTCCTTCTTTGCAAGCGTCACTGCTTAGCAGTAAGAGGAGACGGCTTCCGGACGCGAGAGGTAACCGCCGTCGATCACCTTTCTGAGGGCACGGCGGTACTCACGGCACACCGCCACCGTATCCTCTGGGTGTTCCTCACAATGATGGCTCCCGGCGGATCCGAAACAGGTAGCGCGCTACCGCTGCTATAACAGCGTGCCCAATGTCTTGAAAGACTGGTACGCACTTGTAATGCCTCTGTATTGTATAATTGTGTCCATGGGCGGCAAAGATTGCTTACCATCAGGCGATCCGTGCGTACGGCGCGTTGCACTCAAAGAGCCAATAGACCACCACAGGCGGGACCCTATAGGGCTGACGTTCAGCCGGGGTTGTGGGGTAAGCGCAATAAGGCACTGCAGCCTCGGCTCAATGTAGAAGAAAGAACGGGGGGGATTTTTAGTCAGTAAGTTTCTGTCACTTCCTCCCGCCCCACCCTGGGCGGCAGAAGTCATTTTAATGTTATTACCTTAAATGCTTCAGCAGCCCCGGGAGCGTGGTTCTTGTCCGGGTGGAGCTGCAGTGCCAACTTCTTGTAGGCCTTCTTTATGTCCGAGTCTGTGGCTTCCTTCGATACACCTGGAAAACGTATGAAATTTTTTTAAGCTTTTAGCAATTTAACATTCTCTGTGGCATATCAGAAAAGTTGAAAACACACGGTCGAAAGATCGGGAGGTGTGGAAGCGAGATGGCGAAGCCTTTGCCTAGCAGTGGGACATTATAGGCTAGCAAAAAAAGTTTCTCGGTTCGAAGATCGAAAAAAACATACATATATTGCAAATTAAATAAAACCTCGAAAAAAATTGCGAATTTTAAGCCTAAACATTCCTCAGGGGCGCGTTACTGTGGACGCCAAGCAACGGTCAGTGACAGACTCAATATCTGACTCCGAACCTTGCTCGCCCGTCGAAGTAAAAGACAGAAAATAAAAAAAAATCCGCTGACTCCTACTTTCCTGAATTTGTCTGTTTCGGTGACTGACCATCTTGAACTTCTTGGCGTAAGTCAGGCTCACCCTTGACCTTGGCTCCTACATAAATTCAAAGGCTATCTGGTAGAAAGTTGAGCATCATGTAGAAAAATAATTGCCTTTACTTATACTAAGCGTATGGTCGGTTTTGTATGGAGTACTGCTCTCATTTTTGAAACGGCTCTGCTAAAGACCTAGTAAACCATTTGGAACACAATTTAAAGCTTTTTGTTGTCAGGGGAAAATCATGAAATGACTTCTCCTGCCCGGGTGAGGAGAGAAGGAGTGTCAGACTCTTACTGACTTAAAATCCCCCGTTCCTTTTCCTGCTTTAGACCGAGGCCGCGGTGCCAAATTGCACTTACCCTGCAACCCCGGCTGAACATCAGCCGGGTCTGTGTTTAAGTGCCTTTACTTATACCAAGCGCATGTCGGTCCATGGAGTACTGCTCTCATCTTTGGAACCCATTAGTAGGTACACAGTGAGGGCTAAAGCTAAAGCTTGAGATCTAAGTTTGAGAGAGCCATGCTTCGGCACGAATGGGTCGGCTCGACCCGGAGTGATACCACGACCTCACAGAAAACCAGCGTGAAACAACCACAGCGTTATTTCGCCGTGTGAGTGAGATTACCGGAAGCCTAATCCCTTCTCAATTCCTGAATCTCCAAATCCCTAATTCCCAAAAGGTCGACAAAACACTCGTAGCTCCTCTGTTGTTACGGTTGTCCATGGGTGGGTCATGTCTGGTGCCACCTCCAGGTGGGTCCCAAATAACGGCAGGAGGAGTTACCATCGGCGTCGAGTCGGCGATGAAGTACCTGGGTCTCGTCCTCTACAGCCGATGGAACTTCACGGAGCATTATCGTCGTTGGGACCCTAAGTTGGAACGGTCTGGGGCCGCGCGCAAGCGGCTCCTTCCCAACCTCGGGGGGCCAAACGCCTCCTGCCGGAGGTTGTATATGGGGATTGTGCGATCCATGGCCCTCTACGGTGCCCCTGTGTGGGCGCCGGACTTGAAGTGGCGGCCGGCTAGTACGCTGGTCGCGTCCCAGATGGTCATGGCCATCCGAATAATCCGCGTATATCGCACGATCTCCGGGGAGGCGGCGAACCTCCTTGCCGGATCACCGCCGTGGGATCTAGAAGCGAAGGCGCTCGCGCGCGTCTACAGTTTGCACGCAGACGCGCGTCGCCGGGGCGAAGATCCTCTGCGTCGCCAAAGTGGCGGAATGAGCTCCGGCGAGATCTCATGGCTGAGTAAGACCCCTCTTTGAGGAGTGGCTTGAGAGACGCCACGGTGTCCTCACCTTCCGTCTGACGCAGGTGCTTACCGGGCACGGCAGCTTTGGTAGGTTCCTGTTTCGGATCCAGCGGGAGGAAACGCCCGAGTGTCGTCATTGTGAGGACCACCTAGAGGATACGGTGGAGCATACGGTAGCGGTATGCCCTGCCTGGGCTGAGCACCGCCGTATCCTCAGGGAAGTGATCGGCGGCGGCGAACTCTCGCGCCCGGCCTTACTCGAAGCCATGGTGCGGAGTGAGAGGAACTGGGACTCCGTCTCCTCCTTTTGTGAAGCAGTCATGCTCGCAAAGAGAGAGGCGGCCCGCGTGAGGGAGCAATCCTCCTCCTCACACCCCAGCAGCCGCAACTGGCGACACGACGGGCGAAACTGAACGGGTTCCGCAACTGAACGAAATTACAATATCATTTAGCGCGGGTTTGCGGTCGGCGAGTAAGGGCAGCTCGCCGCCCGATCAGAACCAGGCCCGAACGTACGGCGCGTAGCGTTCCGCACTCGCCTCAAAGAGCCATTAGACCACCACAGACGGGGCCCTAAAGGGCTGATGTTCAGCCGGGGTAGCGGGGTAAGCGCAATGAGGCACCGCGACCTCGGCACAGAGCAGGAGAAGGAACAGGGGGGGTTGTTAGTCAGTAAGAGTCTGACGCTCCCTCCTGCCCGGCCCTGGGCGGGAGAAGTCATTTGATGATTTTCCCCTCACAAAAAAAAGGGTCATGTCTGAAGCCTTATACCTAAGAAGCGGACACATTAACCTCCAAGCTACAACGACAGTTTTATAATAAAATATTTATCTATACTATTTTATTCATAAGCCAATGAGGCCACGTCAGAATGAGGATAAAAGTTGTATGGTTCAATTTTGTCTTAGTCATTCTTGCTATGACGTCTTAAAGAAGGTAACTTGTCTTGTGCGATGGGAATGTCGCAACATAGCATGATTATGTGTAACGCCACCCATCATATCAAACTCCCTCACGCGGTTTCACCCGCTGGTCGGCTCTATTTCAGTAGCTTAATGTTTTATAGCCTATAGCCTGCCTCGATTAATGGACTGATGAACACAAAAACAATTATTCTTTTTTTTATGTAATAGATCGGCAAACGAGCAGACGGATTACCTGATGGTAAGTAATCAGCGCCGCTCACGGACACCCGCAACGTAGGAGTAACGAGTGCGTTGTCGACATTTTAGGGCTTAGGGATTGAGGAGGGATTGGGGGTGGGGAAGGATTGGGCCTCCGGTAACCTCACTCAGACGACGAAACACAACGCTGTGGTTGTTTCACGCCGGTTTTCTGTGAGGCCTTGGTGTCACTCCGGTCGAGCCGACCCATTCGTGCCGAAGCATGGCTCTCTCACACTTACTCAATTCGAACCAGTAGTGCCGGAGATTAGAGCGTTCAAACTAACGAACATACTCTACAGCTTTATAATACTAGTATAGTTTTGACGGTAGGTGTGTTCAAGTGCTGATGTTCAGCTGGGGTTGCGGGGTAAGCGCAATGAGGCACCGCGACCTCGGCACAGAGCAGGAGAAGGAACGGGGGGGGGGGTTTAGTCAGTAAGAGTCTGACACTCTCTCTCGCCCGGCCCTGGGCGGGAGAAGTCATTGGATGATTTTCACCTGACAAAAAAAAAGAAAAGGTGTGTTCAAGTGGTCACCGTATGAGCGGGTCTGCGGTCTGACGGAACGAGATTAGCGCGGTACTCGACCACCATCAGACATGAGGGTGCAGTGCGTTGGATTCCGCGAACCCCGTTCAGAACACTACAGATTTCGCCCACTAGGGCCCGATATCGGGCTAGTCCAGAGTAGGAGAAGAAACGGAGAGGTGTTCCTCTCACAAAAAAATAAAAATAAAATATAGGACTCGTTCACGGAGACGCTGGGTTGTGGGTTAGCCGTATATTGTAGAAGCGGGCCACGTCATCGACCGCTCGAATACAAACATATGAACATGACGACAACAGGATGACGGACGTCCGACACGCTATACCACACACCGCGTCTGAAGACTCAGTATTCTTGAATAATTAACTAACAAAAAAAATGGTAATTCAGTGTCAAAAGTCAGACAGACACATCAAGAACATTGGTTATTCAAGTCAACTTTTATAATAAGTTTTATGTCCATTGAACTGTGCCGTGAATTGTAACTTTTTATTTAAAAAAAAAACCTTGCCTCACTTTAGGATTTTCTCCTGTGTCGTGGGTGCGGTTACAAACATACAATATCACCTACACATCACACAAAGAAACTGACACAATTTGTGGATCACACAAAGAGTTGTTCCGTGCGGGAATAATCCGCGACACATTGCACGGCAGCCAGTTGCCCAGCCACCGCACCAACCGTGCAGTCATTTGTAACTGGAGAGTTTGTTTGTTTGAACGCGCTAATCTCCGAAACTACTAGTTCGAATTCAATAATAATTTTTTTGTTTGTTAGTACATTTATCGAGGATGGCTTTAGGCTATAGAACATCACGCTACGATTTGTAGGAGCCGAGCAGCGAGTAAAAGCGCGTGGGAGTAGCTAATAAATGATAACTTTTAGTGTCAAACTGAGGATATCGGGTTTTTTTTTTGGTACCTGATGGTAAGCAATCGTCACCACCCATGGGCACCTGTAACACCAGAGCAATTGCAAGTGCACGCTGGTTGCTGATCTATGATATATGTAGAGAAAAATATTCTTCTCGGAGTAGTCACATACGTAATGCCAACTTTATTTAGTTTTTCTACAAGTATCCTTTCATGGCTTTTCTGCAGAAATAACTTCATTGTTTCATAGTGCTTGCCTCTATAGCGAAATGCTTAGTATAATGTATAAATTATATTAGATAGTTAACATTTAAGTCTAGACTTTGTATCACAATGCTGATGACTCCTACAATTTAGGGATTTCAAGGCAAGAGTCAATAGTAGGCATTTTTAGGGTTCCGTACCTCAAAAGGAAAAAAACGGAACCCTTATAGGATCGCTTTGTTGTCCGTCTGTCCGTCCGTCCGTCCGTCCGTCCGTCCGTCTGTCAAGACCCTTTTTCTCAGAAACGCGTGGAGCTATGAAGCTAAAATTTATATCAATTACTCAGGTGTACTGTCCCTTGAAGCTGTAAAAAAATCAAACTTCTAAGCCAACGCAATCAAAAGATACAGCCGTTTATGCCGCAAATTTTCGACATTTGCAAGGGAATCAAAACCTACAGGGTGCTTCCCGTGAACTCACAATCTTGAAATTTGGTACGAAGCAACTTCTTATAGCATAGATAAAGGAAAAATTACGAAAACTATAAATTTTTAGTTACATCACATATATTTTTTTAGTTAACTTTTTAGAACGAACTTTGTAAACCTTGCAGGTTTGTACGGAACCCTCGGTCCGCGAGTCCGACTCGCACTTGGCCGGTTTTTTTTAGTTTGCGTGTTCCACATTAGATCCCATTATAGCTTTCCACCAGGCGTGATAGAGGTCAAATGCACTCAAATAACTTATAAAAAAAAAACTCTGTTCATTTATTAGTTTGAATGTGCTTATCTCTTTATTGTATAAAGAATCATAAGAAAAACAATTCTCTTTGTGTTGGGTTCTATAATCTTTACCGAGAAAAAACATTAACACATACGCGTCGGGGGCACTGGATGCGTTAAGCTATGATCAATAGGAGCCAAGCAGCAGATTTAACTGCACAGGAATATCTAGTAATCACAGTATAGTTTAAAACAAAGTCGCTTTCTTTGTCCCTATATCCCTATGTACGCTTAAATCTTTATAACTAAGCAACGGATTCTGATGCAGGTTTTTTAATAGATAGAGTGATTGAAGAGGACTAAATAGTGGAGAAATTTAGTATTACCATTGTGAGTAGTATAATATAGTATAATTTTCATTCTATGAAAGATTCCAATTAGCAAAAATTTCCTGAGAAATATTGACTTTCTTCAAAATCGTGTCATTAGTATAAGAATTAATTTACTTTTCTTAATCGACCTTTTTCAAAAACCTACCTATTCAATGAGGTTGTATATAATTATATTTGTCTATACTAAATGGAAATGGGATTTAAATACAATTGTTCTTTTTTAACTTCTTCACTCTCCATTTACATTTCCAAGTATAATAATTAGGTCACAAGAGAACACAGGTGTAAACCACAAAAACAACACGTACAACAGCCTTATCACAATAAAAAAACAAATGAAAGTAGCTGAACCTGAAAAACCTTGAACATTGTGAATTTAATGTCTAAACAAATATTAGTCTCACTTACCAAGGATTTCGTAAAAATCTTTGCATTTGTTCACACGGCGCACTGCTTCCTGCTGTTCTGGAGTATATTCCCTCTGCGGAGGTTGGTGAGCTGGAGTCTTTCGCCTCCTAACTTCCTCAGCACTAGGGCTTGAAGGTGGAGTACGTTTTGGAGCCCCTGTCGTCGGCCCCGCGGCTCTAACGCGAACTAAAAGCTCTTTAGCGAGCGGAGTAGGGTATAGCCGTTCAGCTTTCAGCAAAAACTTCTCGGCTTTCTCAAAATTTCCACCAGTTAGTGCATTTTGAGCTATTGCTATACATTTCTCAGCTTCGTCCTTGTTCCCATCGAGAGTCATTTTTTCGCTCTTCTTGGACTCTTTGTTGGTGTTAATCTATTCTTTACGCGGAGTACACGTCGCAGAATGATATGAGAACGCGACGCGCAAATTTAATTAGTGGAAATAGAATATAATTGCGTTTAATTCGCTACATTTATGTGCACTAATGGTGTAGAATTGCGTCAATCAAAATACTGAAGGGATGCCAACATAATAAAATAAATCCAATTTCATTTTTCCCCATTCACGGTGCGACTTTAGAAATTGGTAGATTCATCGACATAAATAATGATAAAGATAATTTTAACATTTAAAAATGAGATGGATAGGATAGATAAGCTCATTTATTAACACAAAAATATGAAACACATATAACAAAATACAGCAAATCCAATCTTCACGAAGTAAAGAAATTATCGTTTGGTAGAATTGTAGATTTTTCTAACTTTGTAATATAAAAGTCCGTGTAGTCAAAGTTTCGAAGTTCAAACCTACAAATAATAGGTACAATCAATAGCATGTTCTTCTACCTATCTCACTTGCTCTTGTCAAATTTAGAATTGCTGTCCCTCTCGCACTGCAGATTTAATACACATCACTATAAGGTTTGATGATCCACAATTCCACATTAAGGGTGGGCAAAGCTAATTGAAAACTTAACTTCGTTAACCGTTGTATTTAACGAAACGAATTGCAATTCACTTTTAGTGGATAACTAGAACTTTGAATTACTAAATAATTTATGTGTACTTAAACTTAATGATATGATGAGCCGAAATATAAGCACAAAACAGTCTACAAATGTACAAAATAATGATACATTTACTATATATATTTTTTAATTAAACAAAGATGTTGAGGGAGCCCAGAAGTTAAGGCGCTCGTCTCTCATGTAAAAGGTTCGAAACCTTTCGAGAACCAATGTACGAGTGAGATCTCCTTATCAGTTTGTAATGATTGTGGTGTGGTTAGGGCATTCCTTCTCCATGTGAGAAGAGGCCTTTCTTATGAGTGGAATACCGTATATATATACATATAATTAAATTATTATGTCCATAACGTGAGCTCTGATTGAATATAAAGACTAATACTATGTCAAAAATAAATATGATTGTAATTAATATGGTATCCTTAACTTATGCAGAAAATTTATTAAATCAAAAGGAAATCTCTAAAAAGGATTTTGAGTCTTGTCGTACCAAAATTCTTTGAAATATTTTTAATTTATAAGTAAAATCGTTATCGAGCGAGTTAACTTCGTTGTCAACGAATAACTGTGCCCCTGCTGCCCTACTCAGCCTTGATCCCCCGTCATATGACGTATGACGCACTAAAAGAATTGATTCGATTGAATCGTGTAATATTATTGCGCTAGGCGTATCCGGCGCTTAGTATTTAAGTGTAATCCGCCAAAAACTGTTGTGTAAGCTTTGTAAAATCAGTTTCTGGATTTGCCGCCGCGTAAAACACCGAATAAAAGATGGCTGCTCCACCAATCTACAATCCCGTAAGTTTTTTGCATTCTTCTATGTTGTTACAAAAGATGCCATCCTATGCGGCATTTTATAAATTTTCAAGGGTATTCGGGACAATTCGGTGCGCTCAGTTACGCGTCGTACTGTGTAAATACAATGATAATATGAAACGAAGTTAGCATGCCCCTTTTACGGTGATTAAATTTAGTATTCGTTGGTATTTTTTCGTTTCCAAGGTCTTTACTTAATGCGGCGACAATATTTCTCGTTATTCTAGTAAAGTACTGCATTTTCCTCAATTCTCAAGGCGTTTATTAGAAAATTACGAATGGTATGAACGAAAGAGTTGGGTATCGCAAAAATTGCGTTAGTTAAGCTATTTTTATTCTAAAACGTCTTTTAATTCGCCTATTTATATTCTTATCCTACGCTTGAGTACATTTTTAACATTCGATAGCTAAAAACTGTTGCAAAAAGTACGGAATTAGCATGCATATTATGAAAAACGAAAATAGCATTCAAGATAGGAATTCCTTTAATACTATTGTATACACACATAGGTATCTATAGATATTTCTAGCTACTAACACTAGTGCACAGGTCTCATTAGAATGGACATAGACACTAGATTACATCATAATTTAAAAACATAGGCATCTTGTCTATTACAAGTTTAATTTATGTACAATTTTTTTTCTTACCTTTTCTAGCTTTAATTTGAGATAATATTAAACTTTTGTTTTGTAGAATTTGATGAGGCAGAAATATGATTCTATTTACCATAAGATCAGTCAAACACCTACCATAATTAATTATTATAAATATTTGTTTTGTAATGTTTAACTTTTTTTATTCATTTTCTTGAGTGCACCTATAAACTTATAGGGTTTTAACACAAACTTTCAAGTTTAAAAGTAATAGAAACTGCTGAATAATGTTAGTGAGACTTGGTCCTTTCTGTCCTTTCTAAGGTCTAAAAACTTTTCTAAATACATATTTGAAAAAGACTTTGGAGAGTTTTTGGTGCTCAATTGCAACAATGGTATGGGACCAATACAAATTGCAACTGCTGATTAATCATTTTCAATTGTTTTTTGAGATTTCTATATTGGTCTTATGGAAGAAGTTGTTTTATTTGTGCACCAGAATCGTATCCTTGAATGAGTCCCTCTTACAAAATGCCACAATGTTTATACAACTGTAAAATAACCCACCCCTAAGATGACCCACTGACCAACTCCTTGAATAAAGAGATTAAAGCAGAAGTCTAGTTTAGTAGCCAAATGGTGATTAAGTAATGACAAGTTTGACAGAATGCTTCATCAGCATCCTTTGATGCAGCTGAACTGTTTAATCTGTGATCTGCAACTCCTTTATCAAGCATGCAGAATATTGTATTCAAGTCGGAGTTGGGGTTGCATGCATTATAAAGTTCCATACCCTCGGCCTTGAGCAGGTTTTTAGTCAATAAGAGATTCCCCCCTCCCAGTATAACTCTTATAAGCCAGGAGATCCTGGCTTACAAGAGTTGCAGCGGTATCGGTACAGTCCCAGGGACATTAATAACTGTCTTGGATCCTGCAACGAAATAAATCAGAAGATATTATTTGAGGAGAAGAAAAAGAAACAAAACAGTTTCCACTTCCCTCAGTAAATTTAATGCAGGAGACAGAATGACTTATGCCTTAAAGGCACAGAAGAGACTGTGCAACTGGGAGAAGACCAGTCAAAAAAAAGTGTAGTTTAAATAAAAAAAAAGGTTTTTGGAGTCTGATCAGGGTATCCATAGCAGTGTAGCCTCTATCATGTGATTATGTAATACATATTATCCACGGCGTCAGCGGCGTCACCCGCATTACTAAGGCAAAAAGTAGCCTATGTCTTATCCCAGACTATAATCTATCTCTGTTCCAAATTAAACTCAGATCCGTTCAGTAGTGTTTACGTGAGAGAGTAACAAACATACATCCGTACTTACACACTGTAGCATTTATAATATTTGTAGGAAAAGTAGGATAGTAGGATATTATTCAATGATGATGACATACATACATACAAATATACATATATGTATTTCTTAACATATAATACTATGACTCACAGCACACATACTCTGTCTATTTATAATGGTGACGATATACAAATATTGGAAGCAGTTGTGTTTAAAAAAGTTTTTTTTATTTCAATCAATGGAGTTGAATTTGAGTATGGTAGAGCCAAGCTTCGGCACGAATGGGTCGGCTCGACCGGAGTAATAATATTGCCTTACAGAGAAACAGGCGTTAAACAACCACAGCGTTGTGGTTTTCATTTCGCTGTGTAAGTGAGAAAGAAAAAAAGAAAGAAAAAGTATTTAAGACACAAAACGAACAAGATAATAAAATAAAGTTAAAATAAAAATACTCTGAACATGGTAAAAACAATATCACAAAAGTAGAGGGTAGGAGAAAAATATGCGTCCAAGCACGCGAAATGGCCCACGCTCAGCATAATGCAGCGACCCCGTACGAGACGGGGTCGCTGCGCTGATTTTCAGCGATGGCCGACACTGCGGTGAGGTTACCGGAGGCCGAATCTTTCCCCTCCCCTGTCCTTGACTCCCCAAAACGCCTTATGCCCATAATGCCGGCCACGCACTCGTAACTCCTCTGTTGTTGCGGGGATATCCATAGGCGCCGTCGATGAGGGATTGGGCCTCTGGTGACCTCACTCACACAGCGAAATACAACGCTGTGGTTGTTGTTTAACCGGGCCGGGTTTCTGTGAAGCCGTGGTAACACTCCGGTCGAGCCGACCCATTCGTGCCGAAGCATGGCTCTCCCACACTTATTCACTATAATAATTGACGTCATAGGTTTTATATGAATCGTTGTTACTTTCATAATTTTATCCTTAAAGTATTTCCGAGAATTGTGTAAAATTAAAATATTTTTATGTATATAATTACCTGTATGTAACATAGTCTGTAATTTTCTTCCTGTAAGGGCTAGCTAACTTTTGCGGGGTTTTCGCAATAAGGTATCGTGGCTTCGGCCTAGAGCAGGAAAAGGAACTGGGGGGTTTTAGTCAGTAAGAGTCTGATACTCCCTCTCGCCTCACTCTGGGCGAATGATCATGATGATGAATGATTTTAACCCCCCAAAAAAGGGATAGCTAACTTAAAAGAAGCAGTAAGTGAATTAAATGTAAGAGAGCCACGTTTCGCGAGTGGGTCGGCTTGACCGCTGTTATACCAGATATAGGCCTCACAGAAATCGGTTTCAAAATAACCCATGTTGTGTTTCGCCGTGTGAGTGAAAGAAAGAAAGAAGAAAGAAAAAACATTTATTGACACAACACAAGACATACACATAATAATAAAAAGTACAAAAAAAAAAACAGATAGTAGGTTGCGCCAAATAGCATCCAGTTCAGCATTATGCCAGACAGCTAGTGCCTGACGCCGGTTTTCAACTGGACCTATGAGGAGTTGCGGGTGTCAAACGATATGAAATAATGTATGCTTAATGGAGTGGTTACTGCAGGCTGTTTAAGGTGTTTTAGGTCCTTAGGTATGTGGTCGTCTACTCGGTATCAATAAAAAATGACGTGTACGGTAGGGGTAGCGTGTGTTAAAATATATTGCAGAGTTTTATTTCCTACCATACAACTTAAAAGAAGGCCAAGAATCCAGCTTCTATAGTTAGAAATTCCTTACTAAAATAATGTTGTTCTATCTTCCCAGGTAATACCATGCGTGCACCCCATACCCGCGGGTATGTACCCCGGCCGCATGATCAGAGTTCAAGGCAGCACTCCTCCCGGCGCACAGAGGTGAGGAATTATACTCCAAATATATTTAAGTGTGGGAGAGTCATGCTTTGGCACGATAAGTCGGCTCGACTGGATACCACGGCCTTACAGAAAACGGGCTTAAGACAACCATAGCGTTGTGTTTGACCATACCATACCATAGCCTAATCCTGCCCCTCCACAATCCCTGAATCTCCAAAACCCAAAAGGTCGGCAACGCCCTTGTAACTCCTCCGTTTGCGCTGGTTGCTTACCATCAGGTATTCCGTATGCTCGTTTGACATTAAAGAAGTCAATGATGTACAGTTGGCACGGTGACTGGGCAACTGGCTGCCGCGCAACGTGTCTCGATTTCGATTCCCGCACGGAGCAACTTTTTGTGTCATCCACAAATTTTTGTGCCGGATCTGGGTGTGATTTGTATGTGATTTTTTTTTTTTTATGTAATTGGTCAGCAAACGAGCAGACGGATTACCTGATGGTAAGCAATCAGCGCCGCCCATGGACACCCGCAACGGAGGAGTTACGAGTGCGTTGCCGACCTTTTAGGGATTAGGGATTTGGAGATTTAGGGATTGAGGAGGGATTGGGGGCGGGGAAGGATTGGGCCTCCGGTAACCTCACTCACACGGCGAAACACAACGCTGTGGTTGTTTCACGCCGGTCTTCTGTGAGGCCGTGGTATCACTCCGGTCGAGCCGACCCATTCGCGCCGAAGCATGGCTCTCCCACACTTGAAATTCTATGTTTGTTAGTGCACCCATGACACAGGGGATAATCTTAGAGTAGGGCAATATTTTTATTAAAAAATTGGATCAGGTGGGGTTGGACAAGCGCAATAAGGCCTACAGAAGTAGAAGGAACGGGGGGGTTTTCAGTCAGTAAGAATCTGACACTCCCTCTGTCGATGTCGTGGTGGCCCGGAGGTTAAGGAGCCCGCTTCTCATGCATGAGGGTGTGGGTTCGAAACCTGGCAAGTACCAATGTGACTTTTTCCGAGTTATACGTACTTTCTATGATTATTTAGACACCACTGACATACGGTGAAGGTAAACATCGTGAGGAAACCTGGACTTATAATTTCTAATTATAAGTTTGTAATCGCCAACCCGCATTGAGCAAGCGTGGTGATTAATGCTCTAACTTTCTCCGTATGAGAAGAGGCCTTTGCTCAGCAGTGGGCATTTATAGGCTGATGATGATGATGATGAACTCCCTCTGACCTCATCCTGGCCAAAGAAGACATTTGATGATTTACCCCTCATAAAAAAAATATAATTAACTTTAAATATTGTCTGCAGGTTCGCGATAAACTTCCAATGTGGTCCCAACACGGATCCCCGCGACGATATCGCTCTTCATCTCAATTTCCGTTTTGTGGAGATGTGCGTGGTCCGGAACCACCTCACCGCTATGAACTGGGGAGTTGAGGAGACCAATGGCGGTATGCCACTCAACAGAGGAGACTCCTTCGAAGCCCTTATCCTGTGTGAGCCTCAATCTTTGAAGGTAAGCAGCTTAATCTATACTAATATTATAGAGAGGTAAAATTTGTAAGTTTGTATGTAGGGGGTAATCTTTGGAACCGCTGGTCGGATTGCCAAAATTCTTTCACTGATAGATAGCTACAATGTTCCTGAGTGCTATATCTATCAGTGAAAGAATTTTGGAAATCCGACCAGCGGTTCCAAAGATTACCCCCTACATACAAACTTACAAATTTTATAATATAAGTATAGATATACCTACATATAAAAATATTATTGTGAAGACTCCGCTAACCTCTTCAGTATTAATCTGACTAAATCCTCCCTCCCGTCTAGGTGGCAGTGAACGGAGTACATTTCTGCGAGTTCCCCCATCGCGTACCGTTCCAGAGGATCTCTCACATCACCGTCGACGGTGATGTCATGATTCAGCTGATTGCCTTTGAAGGGGCACAACCACCTCAGCAAATGTACATGGTGAGAGACAGTCCATCATTAATCAGTCCTGTAGATCCAAGGAAAGAGTCCTCATCATCCAGTTGTCAGTCTGAACGAAGGCCTCTTCTCACACGGAGATAAAACCGGCGTGAAACAACCACAGCGTTGTGTTTCGCCGTGTGAGTGAGGTTACCGGAGGTCCAATCTTTCCCATCCCCCATCCCTTCGTAATCCTTAACTATCCTAAACCTGGGCTGGCAACGTACTTGTAACTAGTTTAGTACTACGAGTGTCCATGGGCGGCGCTGATTGCTTACCATCAGGTAATCCGTCTGCTCGTTTGCCGACATATAACATCAATGTCTAGCGGACCCTTACCAAAAACCCCCATTTATTAAATTTCAGCGAAATTAGGGTCCGTTAGGGCCATTTCCGCGATCACATGCTTTTTCAATCAATTAGCGCCTTCTGCCGGGATGATTTGTGAATTTAAAACATCCAGGGTGCCACTCAAACGCATACAGAAAAAAATATTTCAATCGGTCAAGCCGGTTAGGAGAAGTTCAATGACATACAACACATACAATAGTTTTTTTTTTTATGTAATAGGACGGCAAACGAGCAGACGGATTACCAGATGGTAAGCAATCAGCGCCGCCCATGGACACCCGCAACGGAGGAGTTACGAGTGCGTTGCCGACCAGGGATTAGGGATTTGGAGATTAAGGGATTGAGGAGGAATTGGGGGAGGGGAAGGATTGGGCATCCGGTAGAGGTTACCTCACACGGCGAAACACAACGCTGTGGTTGTTTCACGCCGGTTTTCTGTGAGGCCGTGGTATCACTCCGGTCGAGCCGACCCATTCGTGCCGAAGCATGGCTCTCCCACACTTGAAGAATTATATATATATAAAGATATACCTTATAATTTTTCAGTCTGGACCACCCGCGTACGGAGCGTACGGCGCTCCGCCTCCAGCGTATGGAGCCCCCGGCTACGGCGGAGCACCCCAAGGTATGTTATTCTATATTAACATCTATGATACTATATATTGGGCGTTTCGCATAAGCAAGTTGTTCTTTATAGGACATAACAGACAACCAAATATTACTATAACAGTCAATAATACCGCAAAAACAACTACACAGAAAATTGGCGTGAAAGGACTCTATACGTTGTGTTTGGCCATATGAGTGAGGTTATCGGAGACCCAAACTTATTCTTAACCTCAATTTAGCTGGGGCCTCACGTCTTGAGCAATGAGGTACCGCGGCCTCGGCCCAGAGCAGGAGAGGGAATGGGGGTTTTTATTCAGTAAGAGTCTGACACTCCCTCTCGCCTCACCCTGGGCGGGAGAAGTCATTTGATGATTATCCCTACACAAAAAAAGTAGTAGTATTTGGTTGTCACTTTGTATTTAAGAGGTTTTTTATGAACAGGTTTAAAAAACAAATGTTCATGTTAGAAAATCACGGAAATTACTGAACAGATTTTAATGGAACTTGGTAGGCAATATATCAAGGTATAAAAATTATAGGAAGCGTAGGTTCAAAGTGGGTTCTTCGGGAGCGTGAAATACGAGAGACCATCTCCGGTCACCGTAAGCGCGGGTCTGCGTACGGCGCGTAGCGTTCCGCGCGCGCCTCAAAGAGCCAATAGACCACCACAGACGGGGCCCTATAGGGCTGATGTTCCGCCGGGGTTGCGGGGTAAGCGCAATGACGCACCGCGGCCCCGGCTCGGTGAAGGGACGGGGTGGTTTTTAGTCAGTCGGAGTCTGACACTCCCTCCTGCCCGACCCTGGGCGGGAGAAGTCAATTGATGATTTTCCCCTCACAAAAAAAACATGGATATAGGGACAGAGAAAGCGACTTTGTTTTATACTATGTATTGATATGCGCCAAGTTTCATTAATAATAGTTTAGTACTTTCCATGTTTTAAACTTGAAACAATGTAAACTATATAAATATATTAATTGTATATTATATTTCGGGATTTAGCATTCGTATATGTACCTATCTGCCTACGCTGTCGGGGCTTTAAAAGCGCGATGTTGTAAAGTATTTGTATAGTATGCTATATTTTATCCGCAAACGTTTTAATAATAATAATTAATTAATTAATTAACTAACTCAAGGCTTCTTCTTAAACCTTGCATGAGCTGCATGCTTTATATTATTGACATATATCTGATTTATCAATGGTTAGATAAAAGTTACCTGGGGAATAATTATGATGCTGTCCCGTCAGAATGTTTGTATAAGACAGTGACAGCAACAATTTTATTCCTCAGATAACATTTATTTGACTATTGAAAAATTAGCCCTAAGTTGTATATAAGCTTCTATATATTTGACTAAAATCAATTTAAGTTTAAGGGGTTTAAGCTTAATAAATAACGCGGCCTCGGCCTAGAGCAGGAGAAGGAACGGGGGGTTTTAGTCAGTAAGAGTCTGACACTCCCTTTCGCCTCACCCTGGGCGGGAGAAGTCATTTGATGATAGTCACCTCACAAAAAAAAACTATAAAAATTGAATACAAACTCGTCTGTCTGTCTGTCCTCTAGTGAAGCTATTTGCTTGTTCCAAAGTGTAGATTCCTATGGAGAAGAACGAGCAAGAAACTCCATGGTTACTCTTTTTCAATCAGTTTTACTATTCCAAGTAACGGTATATTGTGAGACGTATGTACTAATTCGATTGAATATAGTTTTGTTATGTGAAATATTCGAGAAATACCCGACTAGTTTCAAGTTACGACGGGACTCATTATCAAAGTCAAAAGTCAAAAACATTTGTTTTAAAATCTAAAAATAGAATAATAGTCCGTCAATGACGCTAGGTGCTCTGTTATGTGGTTTTTTGTATTATTTTTATAGCTTACATATGATGTGTTTTGGCTTACAATATCACCCACTAGCTGCACTCGCGCGGTTTCACCCGCTTCTCAGGCCCATTTAATCGTAGCGTGATGTTTTATAGCCTATAGCATTCAGGAACATTGTGGCTATCTATCAGTGAATGAGTTTTGGCAATCCGACCAGCTGTACCAAAGATTACCCACTACAAATTTTACCTCTTTATAATATTAGCATAGATTAATATTTTTTAACAATTATAGAAGCTTATATACTATATTAGGAGATGTATTTATAATTGCCCCCTATGTATATTATTTATATAGAAATAAAAAAATACTGTCAATGTTCTAGCGAAACTGAAAATACACTAGACCAGTCCCAAAGTATATTCTCATAAAAAATATTATTGACCGACTAGCAACAATTTTTTTGTAAACTTTTTACAGTATAAAAACTCCTTTTTTGAGATTAATCTATAATTTTTTTTAACGTTATAATGAAAAGAAAATACTGTTTTAAAGTATGAAAAAAAACGGGAGTGTACATTTCTTTGTTTTTGTAAATTGTTCTTATATTGATATAAAAGGTAAGTATTTACTGCCTTTGTGTAAATATTATATATATGTTGTATATATATATATATATGTATATAACCTATCAGTTTAGGCAATTAACTAAATGTAAACAATCTTGGCATGTCTTGTTACCTAAAAATCGTATGTAAAAATGTTTACAATCAGCTATTTACCTAAATCGATGTTAGCTAATAAACTGAATTTAAATAATCTTTGTATGTACTTTATACGAGCTCTTTAATATAAACAGACATACCAACATTGTTTACCTTTAGGTAACCTAAATAGGTAAATATAGCTTGGGCTAGCTTTTTATGAGTACTTTGTCTTGTGTTTTTGAGTAGCAATACAAATATCAATAATATATTAGGATAACTAGCCTTTAAGTGCCCACTGCTGAGCAAAGGCCTCTTCTCATACGGAGAAAGTTTGAGCATTAATCACCACGCTTAATCAAAGCCGATTGGCGATTTCAAACTTATAATTAGCAATTATAAGTCGAGGTTTCCTCACGATGTTTACCTTCACCGTATGTCAGTGGTGTCTAAATAATCATAGAAAGTACATATAACTGGGAAAAAGTCACATTGGTACTTGCCAGGTTCCGATCCTGTATAAAATATTGGTAAAATGTTGTTTATTTGTATTGCTATGGCTTGTATGTTCTATCTTGCTTATTAAACGTAGTCTAATCCCTTATCCTATCTAGAATCTTATTATTAACTAGCGGCCCGCCCCCGCTTCGCACGGGTCCAACTATCTCGCTATCAAAAGTGTCACTTTTTCCTAATCTTCCCCTCCACTTTTCTAATATTTTCTTTGATAAGAGCCTTCTCCTGACAATAACAAACACAACAAAAAAAGAATTAGCAAAATTGGTCCAGGCGTTGTTGAGTTATGCGCTTACCAACACATTTTGCCATTCATTTTTATATTATTAATAATACTAATTAATATGTATGGGTGAGCCATGCTTATGCACAAGTGGGTCGGCCTCTGTCGTGAAACAACTAGAGAAGAGAAGTGCTTTACCGACCTTTTGGGGATTAGGGTTTTGGAGATTTAGGTAGGGATTAGAGAGGGAAGGATTTGGAACTCCTCTAACCTCTCTCACACGTCGAAACACATCGTAATTTCTGTTTCAACCCTGCAATTTTGAGGTTTCACTCGGGTGGAGCTGGTCCACCAATGCTGAAGCTCAGCTCTCCCAGCCAAAAAGGCCATTGGAATATTTCCCTCCACCCCCCTTTAAAAAGGGTGGCTATAGGGCAATGGACGATTGTTGGGTTGGACTGCATGTGGTGGCTATAAAATAATGAATTCTCTGACTGCACGGTTGGTGCGGTGGCTGGGCAACTGGCTGCCGTGCAACGTGTCGCGGATTATTCCTGCACGGAACAACTCTTTGTGTGATCCACAAATTGTTGTTCCGGGTCAGTAGTGTGATTCTGTAAGACTTCATTCTAAACTTCGAATCTGAATCCGTTGTGAGTAGTAGTATACTAGCGCTACACTTGCGAGTTGAACTTAATTGACAGCAACATTTTGATAGATAAAGTATGAGATGACGTTAAAAGTGGCATTCTAAAATTTAATTTTTCCTTCACTTCGACGCTCACTTCGCACTCGAACACGAATCAAAATCAAACAAATTTTATAGAATCGGCGTGCTGGGCGTCATGTGCATGTGAAACTAGCTACTCTTGTGCGGTTTCACCCGCTGCTCGGCTCCATTGAATCGTAGCGTGATGTTTTATAGCCTATATAGCACTCAGGAACATTGTAGCTATTTTTCAGTGAAAGAATTTTGGCAATCCGACCAGCGGTTCCAAAGATTTTACCCCCTACATACAAACTTACAAATACCTCTTTATAATATTAGTATAGATAGTATGTTTGGAACCGCACCCACGAAACAGGAGAAAATCCTAGTGAAGGGCAAAGATAAAAAAAAAATAAAAAATTATTTTGTAATTAATCCATAAAACAACATTTTTATACGTCAACGTTATATAAAGAAATTTATATGAACCCAGCATTTCCTATCAGACTACTCTGAGAAGAAATGCCGAAAAAAATTCAGAGGTCAGTCTCTTTTACAGTCGAATGGCAAATATGCTAACTAACTTGGATATTACACTAACGAGCGATTCGACCCGGCTTCGGATGGCTACATGCTACATGCATTGGCTGATACCAAACTCCTCACTATTTAATGAATGTTATTATACATATAAACCTTCCTCTTAAATCACTCTATCTATTAAAAAACCGCATCAAAATCCGTTGCGTAGTTTTAAAGATTTAAGCGTACATAGGGATATAGGGACAGAGAAAGCGACCTTATTTTATACTATGACTAGCTCTTACCCGCGGCGTCGCTCCCGACATTTGACTACCTTCCCTATTCTACCTACCCTACACACCCTACTCTACCTACCCTACTCTATTTACCGTACTCTATTTACCCTTCACTACCTACTATACTCTACCTACCCTACTATACCTACCCTACTCTACCTACCCTATTCTACCTACCATAACCTACCTACCCTACTCTACCTACACTACTCTATGT